CATCATCATCACCAGCCTTTTTACGTCCCCACTGCAGGGGCTCAGGCCTTCCTTATGGATGGTTAAGGAGGATGGGCCATGACCCTCCACGCTGGCCCAATTGGAGGGTATTAACGACTGCAAATGCAGCCGGGACCAACGGCTTAACGTGCCTTCCGAAGCACGAAGTAGCTCGAGATAATAATTTTTTGGTCACCCATCCCGTGACCGACCCTTGCGAAAGTTGCTTAACAACAACGATCGCGGGCCGCGGCGCTTATCCTCTACGCCACCGAGCTACTTTGATATAGATATTTCTAATGCAATAAATATATCTCTTATATCTTAATGAAAAACTTTTAAAAACACCATATCCAGGTACTTTGAGATGGACTCGAACCGATAAACCCTGAATCACTGAAATTAAGGATATTGTTCAAGATATAATTATGAATGCAAATTATTATTATTAGTAGTAGAATATAAATTCCGTCGTGGAAATGCTATTTTTAAAGGGGCGAAATAAATACTATTTTGCACCCTTTGAGATAGAATTTCCACAATCGCTGAAATTATGTATTAACTAATTTTTAATCGATAGCTCAAAAAAGGATAAATTTCCACTACTTAAATAGTCAACTCCACAAAAAAACCCTGACGAACTGTAGGAATAGGTAACTAAGTGGTTTTTTTTCTATAGTGAAGTGAGTTTATAACATGTTCTCCAGAAAAAAATACAAAATAATTTATGTAATTAAGGATTTAATTTGTTAAAATGTTTTGATTGTTATTTAACTCTTAGAAATATGATAAAGTTTTCCCATTCTCAATAAAAGTTTTGTTCGCTTTTTACTGCTCCCTCTAATTACATTAACGCCTACATGAAACTGCTAGCAACAATTTCATGAAACATCGCGGTACTAAATTAGTAGACGGTTTTTTATTCCGTATTACATCCTTTATTGCATTTATTCGATAACTTTTTGTGCAAATCCAAGTAACTTGCCTACTGAAGTCCCTTGCGCAAATCTTATTAATTTACCTTATTATTTTAAATAAATAATTAAATAATTTCGAATAAGTTATTGTAAAATGTTAATCCATGTTGTATACACACTATAAAGGGCAAAGAAATCTATTTTCATTATTGTAATTGTCAACTGATTAAGATTGTAAAATAAAACTTTTGAGTTAAGCTGGCGAGCTGTCTACTGTACACCTCCATTTTATTTGTTAGATTGCAATCAACATAATAGAGTATTTAAATTCAAATGGACAATCAATTCTAAACATGTAAGATGAAAAATCTAGAAATCTCGTATTGTTAAACGGAATAGTGTCTTATTATTATGCAGTACGCGGCCCGTTGATGATCATCACCGCGATGTGTTACCAATCATCGATTTTATGACACCAAGACATCACTGTCATTGTTAATATAATATCTCTATTATCATAAAGAGATTTGATGGTTTCTTTGTATCGAATAAGCTCCGAAACTACAGAAACCATTTTATCTTTCAGCTGTGGGAAGGTAGCATACGCAGGAAATAACGAAGGAATCATGCGCTGGTAACACGCTATAATTTATGAGGGCGAAGTCGCGGGAATGTAGCTAGTAAAATAAATAAAATACTTTTTACATACTATAACATAGGAGTATACATACATATAATCAAAACCATCACTCGATTCTATTCCCATAATTAGAGCAAGTTTTTGGAAAGTAATTTGATTTTCTTTAAAAACTATGCCTGTCTGAGGAGGAAAGCATTAAGATGAATAACGAAATAGCAGACCGTGAAACAGACAAACCATTGCATGTTCCTTGTTTCTTAAAATCGTTATGAATAATAAAAAAGCCCCATTAATTTCAATTTTATTCAATATAACTTAAAAGCCTGGCAAACTATATCGTAGGCGCTTTACGTTAGTGTACATACTAAAGAACTCTTAAGTAAATACATATAAAAGTTTGTGTAAAGACTATCATCCAAAAGCTGTATTTCATATAAAAAATATTCTAAGATGTAATAATGTCAGAAAAATTAGAGGAAAAACTAACTATATACAAACGGAAGAGGATGGGGAAGTAGTTTAGCTATGCGCGTTGAATCACCTTCCTGGAGACGTGACAGGCCATGATCTGCAATGTTGCACACCAATGTTGCAAAGAAAATAAAGTAAATTACAATTTAAGAGCAATATTAGTATTATAATTAAACGTGTCTCATTTGTACTCGATACAAATTAAAAACGCTTTATGATTTTAAGGTCTCTAAATTTTATTTATTATGTCGTATATATTAATATTTAATAAATTATACTAGCTATGTAACATTTAAAAATTTCAACTACCACGCTTTAAGTTTATTAAATAGGTATGATAAATAATTAAAAAAATATTTTCTATTTCTACAACACCTACTAATTATCTAATTGCTTTAAACCAAAACAACACTATTATCTAATAATTTTATTATGTATAGTTAAAACATTTATCTAATATTGTGTGAATATGTGAAAAAACTCCATTTTGACCCATTTTTAGGTTTTAATCTTTCCTATATTTAGTTCAAAATCGTTATCACTACGAGACACAAACACAAATAACTGTCGATAGAGACGTGACTGAACAAATAAGCTATTACTGCAAATAAATAATAAAAAAACCTCAATAAAAAATTAAGGTGAGCACACATTGTACAATAAACTTACACAATAAATTAAATTAAGTAAATATTGTACGTCTCGACATAATGTACATTCTTACTTAAGAAAGAAATAAGATGCTACTTATTATTTTTATTTCTGGTTATATCTGTAAATATCACATTATTATTTGCTCGGCTTTGTCCTAGTTCTTTCATTTGGGATCGACACAATATGTTTTTCTATTCTTTTTCTATTCTTCTTGATCAGTCATCATATCATCTCAGCATTCACTTCTTTCTTACTCCATATTCTTTCACACATTCCGTATAACTTTTCTTCAGTTGTCCTCTCCTTACATTCCCGTCCACGTTCATGCTCATAATCCTTTTTATTAAATGTAAATCGTCTCGTTTTTAATAGTAAATAATAATGATAAATATTGGAAAGTGTCTAAATACTGAATTTAAGTGCATTTTGAAAAACGAATACAGGCCCTAAGCCGTTATCAGATTTAAGTCGGTTAATCATAGTAGTTGTAATTGTGGAAGGCAGGCGTGTAAACTGTTTAAGCCTACAATGTAAACCTTGCTTAATATAAATATAACACGTGGCAACTTTCACGTTGGCACTTGACATCGATAGATATACATTTTTACTGGAAATGTCTTGGAATATTTAAATTCTAAATTATTTATATAAATTCGAATAAGGAACTTAATCAGGATATATCGTGTTCAGGAAAGCTAATACTTATTTGATCGAAATGGTTGATTGGTTGAAAGGGTTGACCTGGAAATATCATCTGAATGTACGCTTCTGATATTTATCTATAGGCAGAGAATTCCATAGAAAACTCTTTTGCCTACGGGAGGCTTTAACATTCGTGGGTGATATACATATAGTTACACAAACGTCCATTAAAAATGTCATTACTTTAAAGCGACATTACCGATACAATTTTGACAATCATTAGCGCTTAAAATCGTCATTAAACCTTAATGGACGTTTGTGTTACTGACCGAGAGGCTATAATTCATGCGGGTGCAGTCGCAGTCAAACAGCTAGTATAAAATAAAGACAATTATTTTTCTTAAAACTTTTAATGAAATAATAAAACTTTATACCTACGTGACCCCCCAGCAGACTAACAAAAAATATATATTAATCAATCGATAACGCATTCGTTCCAAGATAAAAGGGATTTAATAATTTACATCAATAAAATATTATCGCTATATAATTTTGTTATGCGCGACATTGAAGATAAACTGACTGTTATAAAAATATCACATTGCATACATTTTACTTATGACATTTATAACCGCATTAAAAAAAAAGAAGGATATTCTCTATTCGACTGAATGTACTTCGATATCTTCGTCAATAGTGCACCATATTTTGATGACTGAAAAGTATTTTAAGGGTAACTAAGAAAAGGGAAGGGTTAGATGATCAAGAATTCAACCGACGTCCAATGAAGTTTCCTTCGTTTTTGTATATACTTTTTTCGTTGAGAAATTTAAAGGTGTGAATTATTTTTTTTCTACATTTTCAACTGCCAATCGAACTCGGTACCTCACCACATAGCTAGTCGATTATCATAGTATCTATGTCAAGCATAAAAGTACACACGGCTGCACGTCAGGTTACCACAATATGTCAAATTTCTGTAATGGATTTCGACCTCCACCCTTTATGTACTAAGGTTTAAAATTCAGTGAGGAAATCTTACAGTTTTGTATGGTCTGACGTAAAGTTGACTGTACATGAATTTTCATTAGTGGACTAGTTATAACTGACTTTATCGTCACCGTTCACTCATTATAAACTCAATTCGAATGGTCTCATGATAAAGTGAATTATAATCACCTACCGACATAATGCAAATTAATAAAATCACATCGTATGTACACTTAAAAATCGTTTTATTAATAAACTAGTATTATGATCTATTATACTTTAGGTTAATTTACCTAAATTAATTTAAAACCATGTCAAGAAATGTAGGTACTAATACAACAACAACTGTTTAAACAAAATCTATTTAATTTGACGGAATTGAAAAACAACGATCATAATATCGATGTTAAGCAGATATTTTTGGCATTATTTCTGTAATGACTGTAGATAGTGTGTGATTTTCTAAAAAAAATATATATTTTGTCGTTTAGGTACTCAAATAAGTGCATTTACCCTGAGGTAACTTGCTTTGCTTGTCTTTTTTCAGTTTCCCAAAAAGTGAGCCTAATCTCTACGAATTTTCTTATTTCTGAATTGAAATTAATTATTAAAATAAACCAAAACGAAAAAATCTAGTGTGACATATTTTTCGGTTTAATAATAAATATACGTATTTTTTGTTACAGATTCAAAAGTTCTATTGCTAAATCGTCAAGTGTTCCTCCTCAACCCTTCTTATCCGCCAAACACTACGTTTACATACGTAGTGTGACGTCACGTGACGTATGGACGATAGGAGCTACTCTTACGACCCCGTTGGTGCCGGTGCGCCAGTCAACCAGCAAGCGTACAGAATGGAGGCGGGACAATTGTGGCGGCAATATGTCATCGCGGCCGTCGGTATGTCGAATTGTGATCACTTGTGCTAGCAAATTAAATTAAAAAATAAAGCTTATACCAAAAACATTGTGAAGTGTTCGAAATTCAAAATCGAAAAACGCGCGCCATCCTTGGTGTTACAACCTCTCCGGGAAGTGATGGGAATTATAATAAATTTAACGTGTTCCAGTCGATGACTATTTGATTTTGCTGGTTTGCTTACGAACGTATAAAATCGTCGGTCACGGTTATTTAGCCGGTAAAAAAGAGTGAATCGGAAATCATTTGTCAGGTGCGCAACATTAAAATAAAGTATAAATTTAAATTGATCGTTTCCAAATTCGAACGGGTCAAACGATCAAATGTCGGAGGTTATTTTGCAACATTTACTACTCTACATTCAATAACAACCACAAATAAAAGTGCGCAGTAAATGTATGTATGTACCTACCAACATAATTTGCCTTAAAAATAAAATAAATAAATACGAAAATATCGAAACGCATAAGAACTCTGCTATCAATCAATACTTATATTTAATTAAAATTAGATTTGTTATTCGTTTTGTTAGAATATTTCCACCGATCACTAATCATGAAGGAAAATATTTGTTAAAACCCAACAACTACATTGTATCAAGTTATTCACATTGAATACATTGAATCACTGTTAGTACTTAAATAATTTCAGAGACAATGCCTTGTTTATAATTGCCTATGCTACAGTTAACAAAAATCTATAATTTCACAACATTTAATTATATTTATTTATCATCATTCAACATAACGTGGAGAATTGGAGTAGGTAATATTTTCTGGCGATATTATGTTCGGTTCCCGGTAGTTTCAACTTAGATAATGTCATAATAAATTAAGATGTGCTTTAGTTTTATACTGATCTTGAAATCAAACTTAATATATTTTATGTTAGTTACCTACATCTTATTGTTCTTTCAATAAATGTTTTTTGAGGTTTAATTTTGAATAAATCCACAAGTCTTTTATATGTTTTAAATAAGATAAGTATGTGTTTGAAACTCAATTAAAATTTGAATAGAAAGTTATCTTGGTCGTTCATTCCAGTTTTATGTCACGAAATAATAGGTAAATGGCTATGAAAATGCTGTAAAAACATTATTACATAACGTAGCGGCTACTCCAATATTAGGTTAAATGAAAATCACAATTTATCTATTACCACTTGGTCTCATTTCAGCAGTTGATATTCAGCTGGACGCAAAGAGTAACACAGATGGGGAAGTATAAGTAATTTTTTGGTCACCCATCATATGAATGTTGCTTCACATCCGCATCACAGACCGAACCACTGTTCTAAAGCTACTGCGTCATCGAGCTCCTGTAATAAAACTTACCTGTAGTACGGACAGACAGAATTAATTATACCGTATTTTTTATTCTCCCGAACTGTGAAGTAAATGCTTACTTGAAAGATTAGACAATCTGTCTTAGTGAGACCAAGAGTCTCTTGGTCTCTTGATCTCGAGTAGCTCCGCCGAGAGGCAGTTGATCGATTAGCGTAATGACAAATCTGATGCAAAATACGAACATAATAATTAATAATGTCTTCATTTACATCAATAATTTTATAAATCTCTAGTAAGAAGATCGAGCAGCGACAACCATTACGTATTATGTGGATATTATAATATTTTTTTATTGAGATACCAATCGACTAAACTAATATGAAATAACCTTAAGTGCCTAGCCTAAAGATAGGGTTGGCAACCGTAATTTGAAGTATCTATATCATGTAGGCGTGTCCTATAATCTATTACACCGATAGACGACACTAAAACACTCTTTTTTTACTATATATATTTATGAATCTATTGCCAGTCATGCATATAAGATGCATACCTATTATCGTAACCTAAAAAAGTACCAAAAAATAAATTTTTAAAAATAGGATTATAAAAATATACCTTCTCTTTTTTATAAGGCCGTACTCTTCATTTACCTCCTTTGAAATCAAATATACTTTCTATATCTTCCAATAAAAGTTGGCAACCCTACCTAAAGGAGTTACAAATATCAAACCGCTATTATTCGAAATATGGGATTGCACTATCTTTGGAAAAAAGGGATTATAATTAGTTAGTTATTTAGCATGACAGTATGAATGTTGATAAATAATTTGTTTTTATATATAACTTAATAATGAATACTAAGCACACGTCTTAAAAAAAAATAAGAATAATATATAAAATTCAGGTGGTCAATTTATTTTGAAAATAAACATGAACGAACTGAACCACAAAAAAATATTTAATTGAACCGAACTATTCGAACTATTTCTCTCTTAGAGATTTTAATAAATCCCCCTAATAGGAGTTTGAAAATCATGTAATCCAAGCAAGCGAACCCTGCTCGAAAAACTAGTTGCATTATAGGAAAATTCATAATGATTGTTTTTTTATAATATCTAGACGTAATGACACCATCAAACGAGTATAGTTAATAAGACTACCGGTCCAAATTCCAAAATGATTCATGTTAGGTAGTTACTGTATAAAAAAATACACAATGGTCTCTACAGTTGCTTACATAAACAGTCCTAAATTGTCAATGAATGAACATTATTTTTTTACATTTATATTTTTAAACGTAACAGCAAAGGAAATTTTTCTGTAGACTTTTGTGTTTTATTTTTATTCATATAATGTATTATAATTTTCCAATAGAGATTTATAATAATACCTGCTATGTTCAGCCATTGAACGAGCGACGCTCAGTGGGTAGGTCTCCCGCCAGGTAGACGATCGACGATCTCATAAAGGTCGCGGGAAGCCGCTGGATGCGGGTAGCGCAGGACCGATCATCGTGGAGATCTATGGGGGAGGCCTATGCTCAGCAGTGGGCGTCTTACGGCTGATGATGATGATGATGATGATTCAGTCAGTAGCCATTAACTCTAAAATTTCAATTTGAAGATTTTTTAGAAATTTATTAACTAGAATAAATTTCAAAAAATTATCACAGTATGAGTAATACAATTAAAAAAAAATGTCAGCGCCACACGATTGTAAACAAGACGCACCGCACCAGTTAGCTATACGGAGCGGAGAGATCCGATGGATTTCCTTGTGGATGGTTAAGAAGGATGGGCCATGACCCTTCACGCTGGCCCAATGCGGATTGGAGAGTATTAACGACTGCAAATTCATCCGGGACCAACTTAATGTGCCTTCCGAAGCACGAAGTGGCTCGAGATAACACTTCCGGTCACCCATCCCGTGACATACCCTTGCGAAAGTTACTTATCAGCAACGTTCGCGGGCCGCGGCGCTTATCCACAACGTCACCGATCTACAAATCCTACTTTTATCAAACTGCTATAAACTGGTCATTAAAAAAATAAAATCACCTGTTTACGTGACGTTTAAGACGGCTTAAGTACGGTTTGAGACATGCTTAACTTTAAATTCTCAATTCAGAAAGCAGGTGTAAGTTACCAGTGTGGATTGTTTTTACGGTGTGGGTTGCACCGTGCAGTAACAGTGTTAACGCTTTGCACTGAAAAATTGACAACACACTAATTATAAGGCTAAAATATTCTGCAAACTTCTTTGCGTATGTACGCTTCCGTATCTACCACGAGACTTACTATCAGATTGTTTTACGACACCTAAATGTCGTATGTACCCAAAATCTGCTACGCATTTTGTTTCCACATACTTAATAGAAATTAAATGAAAGCACATACTCGTTCATATTTCCAATTCGATTAGATATTATCGGCCATTTATATCAACGATCGGAAAATCCATCGATAAAATACATTAAGCTCTAATGGAGATAATTGTGATACCTATACTTAATTTTAAGTAGCGCGTAGTATATTTTTATTAAGCGGTATTCTGTTCATATTATCAAAATGTTTTATTTATATGACTTGAGTTTTTTGAAAATTTCCGAGTTTTCCGTTCGACTTTCCCAATTTTTTTCTATCTATTTAAGTATAAGTATTTGCATTTTGTTACTATCTTTTTAATTATTACCAACAAATTCTGCATCGGCAGTCGTTACTCTGACATTAACACCCACCAATCCGCATTGGGCCTGGGTATTAGCCCATTAAATAAAGAAAAAAGTAAAATATAATAAAATACAAATAGAAATATACCAACCTGCTAGTTGAACCATTAGTATACGAAGATTTGATGAAAACTGAGATTCGTGAAAAGTTTTGATATGCTTTGCACTTATGGGTCGTGTATTTTTATATGTACCTACAGATTGGTGCGCCAACAGCAATTTATTAACCGCAGATAACCTAAGGTTTATCTTATTTAAACTTCTTAAAAATGTTTTAGGCTGATAAGCTTGTTATCGACATGCTGCATTTATATTTTAGAGGAAGCCCAAATAAAAAAAAAACACTAGCTACAATTGAATTCGTACAAAGAAGTAAAGTCTGAATATAAGCTGTTATTAGTTCATTAAGTGAATTTATGAAATTTTCTAAAAAGCTAACTCCACGTTTAAAGATTTTTATTTTTAATAAAAATGTTTGAAGAAATTAGGTGACAGCGTCCGCTGGCAAATCACTGGAAAACGCCCATTAAAAAAATCACAACAAATTAAAAGACTAATGTAGATTGCCAATGACAAAACAAACTCCCTTACTATTGTTGGTCTCAAATTTTTTCAGCTTTAGATTAACGTTCAAAAAACAAAAGTATTTGTTTAGGGACTGCATTTTAAAGGTTCAAATAATTAGAGCAAATATAATATGTCTTCCGCTATGTTGCCACCTAAACACGAGCGTTAGCAGAACGAAGTTTATAGTTATAAAAATAAATTCAATAATTTCTTTATGAAGCCTCAGACCCATAAGCATGTAAATTGTTGGATAACAAATCAAATATGTTCTTCACAAAGAATATCCAAAAATAAACACACTAATACCCAGACCCTAAACAACTAGTCACTTATTATAACAACTACACTTGGTTTAGATTATGAAGTAACAAATCATAAAAATAACAAAAAACAGCTGCTCGGTATTTATCGAAGTTATAATAATTATTTTACGTAAACATAGGTTTATTGGAATTTTTTATCTGCCCGTTATCATGTGTAACGTAATATACATTCTAAAAAACAATATAATTATGTAATAGGCATGTAGGACACAATATGACATGAAATCCGAGTAATCTGCACCGTTAACGCTTCGTCAAAATAAATAAGTAATTCACGTAAACAAAAATGGCCGTATTTCCATTATATTATAGGTATTTAATTATATTGTATGAGGCCCTTGATGAAGCAGCTACGCTGTTTAGTATTCTGTGAAGGGCCAGGATTGATTTCCGACGAAGTTAACTTTAAAAAAATTTACCTTGTTTACTAATGTCACCATAACGCTAAATAATTAAATAATTAAATGCTGAAACTCGATAAGCAAATCAATTGTGAATAGCTGGACCCTATTGAAAGTGTAGATATGGATCCAGCGATTATGCAAAAATATTTCTTTCAAAATGCTAATACATATCACAAATAGATACAAAAATTTAAAGAAAGAAAAAGCAAAGAATTGTTTGACAACTTTTGAATATGGAAACATTGGATATTTTTATAATATCTCACTTTAATTTTATGTATTCCTTAGAAAAAAAAACCGAGGAGATGATCTGGAAGCTAGAAAAGTTGGAAAACAATTTCGTCAAAATTAATATTTTAAATTTTTATTGAACCATATGTTTAAGTTAGCCATTATAAACCAAATAAAATGGGAATATTTATATTCAGAAAAAAAACATCACACAACGTTTAAAAGTATTAGTTAGTTTAAAAGTATTTTTTGAATAGGTACGATCTTCAGTTTAGATTAAATTCTTTTAAAATGTTACATTGTATGCAAATTTTAAATATTTATAAATTATTCCTTGGCTCATTTCAATAGTAGCATTTTCACAATAATGAATGTCAAATAAAGTATTTTTATTAACAATCAAACTTCTAGATTTAAGTTCCCTAAGTCAGAAAAAAATAGGTTCTTGTAGGTTATGTAAAACACAAATTATACATTTTGAATAGCCCATTGTGATTATACAGAGACTTGGCAGTTTTTTACGATTAGGGAATTCCATTTTTTGTGGATCCTTGCATGCCAAATGCCTGCTACAGCACATCTAATATCAATTCTATAGGCAATTTTTAGATTAAATGTTATCTTGAAACATATTTTGTTACGTACAACATTTTAAAAACATCAATTTATTATTCGATATGGCGTTTATTTTAGGAAAAGTGATTCAACGCATACAAACGAGCGATTCATTCAATAAGTCGTCCCATGTTATTTTTAAATGAGAGAAAGTGGTTACTCTGTTTACTAAAATAACTCCTTTTCTGTTATTATTTACAATACTAAATTAGTTACTTAATGAAGGGAATTATTATTAACATTATATTTGATAAATTTTGCACTCACAATCACAATGCTATATTGCCGCAGGTCATTTTGGCCCCTTAAGACTGGTGAATTGTTTAAGCATTCTTTCTTTAAGATAAATAAGTGGAGTTATATAATCGATTAAATAAATTAAAATGTATCAGCATTTCTTTCTCTCCCAATTAAATCGAAACTAAGCCTCGGACTTTTAACCTTTAAACCCCTAATATCAATGTTTAAACAATTTTTTTTTAAACCATAAAACCCGAATGTCCAATGTCGGTTTGTTGCCGTCGTTCGTCGTCGTTATTAAACTAATATCTAAGATCTACAAGAATAAGAAAATATTTAAACTCGGATTATGTAAAGACAGACCATGAATCTAAAGATGGACATTCCTGGACGCTCTGAAACTATTCTGCAATTTTATGAGTTTCGCTGTATCAACTATAAATTGACTTCATCTAAGGTTTTAGCACGCAAAGGACATGTCTCGAGACTAATTTATATCTAAAAATCAAGGAGCTAAAAATAGTCCTTTGTGACCATAAAGGAAATACGGATCCGTCTCGTTGAAGATGTCATTATTTAATAACAGGTCGGTAAAGGATCACTCTATTACTTTTACTTCTTCACATTGTAAGAAATATCGGATAGTTACCCTCAAGTTTGCTTTATGTTACACTGAAAATTATAATAGTTTCATTAAGTATATATTTTAAAATAAAAAAAATAAAAATAGAATAAAAAAGTTTTCATATTATACACAACTCTATATTTGTAAGGTTTTTATAATTATAACTTATTTTTTATAATTATACCTAGTTCATATTATAATCTTAAGCAATTTACAAAGAATATTTCCATATTACCCACATGTGTAAGCTGAAAAATAAAAATAAATACTTACATACTTATGGAAAAACGATTTAGTCTTTTCAGTAAAAAAAGCAGTAACTATCATTTTCCATAAATTTTCCCTACATTACATAATCTGCGCGTAGGTACCTATGTATCTACGTAATTATATAATTTTTGCCAATAAAAATTTTTGGTTGAATTTTTTTCGGCATTGTTCAAACACAGGTTGAACAAACCAATTTTTTTAATGCTGAGTCGCATAGTAATAACAAAGAAGCTTATATGGTTTTGGTATTAAACTAGTAAGGCATCCGAATACTGGTTGGATTGTACATACAACTGAATGTGTTTGTTCCATCAATCATGAATTTTATGGTACACCAGTTTATGACTCGACTTATGCGTAGGGGCGGGGTGACATGCAATGAAAAAAACTTTTTAATTCACATGATTCATTTTGATAATTACTAGATTATTAAACACTCTTGAACAATTTTTGTCATACGTTACAACTTTTTATCCATAACATAGGTTTTTTTTTATTTCTGTAAAATTGTTGCTATTATTGTATTTTTTTTTATGATTAAACAAAATCGTGCAACGCGCCTACAATGTACTTAGTAGATGCGAATGACAACTTGACCTTAAGCTGATTTTAAGCACGAATAAAAGCCTATCTACTTGTTATTTATAATTTAAAAGACTATTATATATCTCCCCTGTTGATCTGGCAATGAAATCTGTTTATCATCACGTGCAAGTCAACTATCAAAAGCGTGTATTATTTATTACACGTGTCTCTACATTTTTATTGACAGATGATGCATAAATAGTTTCCTTCTGCTTCTAGATAAGATTTAATCAATTTACCTAATAATATTTTTGTTTATAATTTATACTTTCGGCAAGAGTCATCTAAACACCAAACGTTGGAAGGGCTGAACTGGCTGAAGCCTGGGGTGGCAGATTATAAAGAGAGCAGAGCCAATATTTTTGTCATTGTAAATCTGTATGATAGAGAATGTATACTGATATTTTAAAGAGAAAAAATTTGTTTTTTTTTTCTTTGCATTGAATAGGTTCCGAAACTACTGAACCGATTTTTAAGAATCTTTGACCTACGGGATGCTACTGTTACATAAATCAAATATTGCAATATCTATGTTATGTTTGATTTGATTCTGCACGGCATTCTCTGTCAGTCGACCAGTTAGGGTGTCAAATAAGCCAAAGGGGGTGGCGCAACAAAGAGATTTTAAGGAGAAAGATAAACCTTAGTCACATAAAATAATACATATTAATATTTTTAATAATATTATAATAATAATAAATATATAGCTATTTAAATAAGAATATAAACATATAGGTACATGAAATTATAATATTAACAAAAACAAATGAGATGCGATGGGACTAATTTAAAAGTTTATGATAATATTCAGGAACTGTTTTTTTGAACTGGAATTTATTTAGTGCTTTCCGAATGGTATACGAAAAAAATATGAATATTAATTTGGGAACTTATTACGGGTAAAGGAGTAATTAAGTAGTTAATTACAATTATAGCACACAGGTCATAAAGAAAAAAAAATCATCAGGAACTAGGAGACCTCCAAAAAATTATTCATCTCTATTAGCACGTTTACTGATATAGTACTCTACTGTCTCTTTCCAGCGAACATCGCGGTAGCCTCAACTGGTTACTCTATGGGATGGACGTCCCCTGTAAATGTGAAACTGAATAATACAGAGGAATCACCCCTGCCGCATCCCATCACCACAGATCAAGGGGCCTGGGTCGGCTCCTTGCTCACAGTTGGCGCTATATTTGGTAAATTAATATTGATAATAAAACACTACGGTAATACGGTTATTTGTCTAAAATTATAAACACATCTTGTTTACATTTTTATTATAATTAATGTTATGCAAGTATATAGAAGTATCTACTATTAACTTAACATAAGTACGAGAAACTTAAACTGACATCTATTGATTAAGTCTGCATGTACACCTAATATCACTTCAAATATGAAGCGCGATTTCAAACCTCACCGATGTGGGTACTGGCCACCGATGTGGGTACTACACACTATTTCCAATTCATTCAAAATAAGAGCAGGATATTGGAAAAGTGTAAATCTAGAAGCAAATATCTGGAAATTACATACCTTAGTTTAACATTTGCAATGCCGTGTGTTTTAAATTTCCCAGGTCCGTTCATCGGAGGACTAGCGGCGTCGAAAATAGGTCGAAAATGGGGTCTGCTCAGCTCAGCTATCCCTCTGTTCCTTGGCTGGATACTGGTCGCGGCTGCCACCAACATCGGTCTCATATATGGCGGCAGGATATGCTGGGGCGTCGCCGTCGGAATGATCTTCGCTATTTCACCTATGTACTGCGCTGAAATTGCTACGGTAAATGTCACTCCAATAAATGATAAAATGCAAAATCATCGGTTAGTCACCATTGTAGATTTAACACATTTACACGCTGCAACTCTCTCACAGTTTTCCTTCCTTTCTTTCTTCTCATTCTCCCTCTGGTTTTATCTTTCATTTCACTACTATTTTAGATCATAAACATATTGAAGAGCAATCATAACTAGAGAATAAACACGACCATGGTCTTGTCCGTGATATGGGTATATTTTAAAATAACTACCGTATCGTTCAGCTCCCCTCTGCTTCTAACAAGGATTTGATGGAAAATACATAGGCATTTTTAAAAATGATGACAATTAATATATATAGTTAACTCTATTTTCAAACGAAGATAGCTACGATTATAGAAACAGAGTACTAGTAACTTAGTATCTCCAAAATAATTGTGCATGTTATTGCAGCTGCTCTTTTTCACATCATAAATTGTTTCCCAGGACGAGTCCCGAGGTGCACTGGGTTCTTTCCTGCAGTCGTTCATCACAGTGGGTTTCCTGCTGGTGTATGGCATCGGGCCGTTCGTCTCCTACTCGGTGGTGGCGTATGTGGGCGTGATTTTCGTGGGGGTCTTCGCAATAGGATTTTTCTTCATGCCAGAGACACCTACATACCATTTGACTAAGAGTAAGTAAAATAGCTGAAACAAAACAACTGTTGTTAAGTGATATATATGCTTATCTTACAGAGTTTTAGGTATTAATTTAAGTTTAGTTAGTAAATATTTATTGCAAAAATATTTTTGGCTTAGAATTAAGATCATAAAATTCAACAACACTCTGCATCTGTATTTTAGATAAAAAATGCTTACTTAGCTTTTATTGTTGTAAACTTAATAATTATAATTCAGCTGCCATGTTTTTTGTGACCTGTAAATTAATTTGAAGCCTGATAACAATTGTAATATGTTGTTAGACAACCGCGAGGCGGCCGGGGAGTGCCTGGCGACGATTCGCGGCCGGTCGCTAGCCGCTGTTCAGCCGGAGCTGGACAAGCTGGAGGCAGAGGTGAAGGCCGCGCAAGCCAAGACTGCCACGGTACATGTTACATACGTACACATCTATCACACTCTTATGTTATTAAAAACACCCAGGCCCAAGACACTACTAAAAATTTATTAACATAATTATGAATACAACTATAAATAGTATATATGTACTCTTTTATACACTAAATCTAAAATGAGCTAATATTTTAGATTTAACTACCATCCCAAGGTTGCTTGGAAAATATAACTATTAGTGATAAGGCCACCATTTGTACGTCTCATTTCTACAATTAAAATTATAAGTGTTATGAGTGTGTACAATAAAGTGTATTTTATTCTTTAAATGCTCATGGGTATACGAGAAAGAAATAACTTTTTCTCAACAAGAGACTGACTAGATATTGCTATTCTCTTACTAATTTCGATACGATGCCTCCTGAAATAACGTATCCATTCCTAACATCGAACAGATCGCGGACGTGTTCCGCGGCGGCAACTTCAAGGCGTTCTACATCTCCTGCGCGCTGGTGTTCTTCCAGCAGTTCTCCGGCATCAACGCTGTGCTCTTCTACATGACCGACATATTCCAGGCGGCTGGATCCTCACTGGATTCCTCTATTGCCACAATTATCATCGGAGCAGTTCAGGTACATCATCATCATTAATGGCACTGGCCTTTTCTATGGATAGAATCATAATCGGTTTAGGAATTAATCATATGTATTGTTGTTTTTTATTGCAATGGAAAGTGACTTCAATGGTAATTTTTCAATGTGGCTTCGCTGCATCAAATAAATCAGGGTTAAAAACCAGCCCTTGCTGAGACTCTTACTCTTGGTTTTTCTCAGTAGGAGATATATAGTCGTACATAGACTGGTTGTGATAGACCATACACCACAACAGATATATATTGGTGAATATTAACGACTGCAAATTAATCCATCATGAACGCCTTCACGTGGGTTGCAGTAAAAAGATTTAAAGCGTTGGGGGGTAGAGGAACGACGCCATACGAAATTTTTGCCCCGTTTAAAAAAATCGATCCGGGCCTGAAAAAATTCACAACAAATAACACTTTCTAATATCACACTAACATGTCGTTGTCTAGCTTATAGCTTCGTGCATCACTCCGTTCGTGGTGGACAGACTCGGCAGGAGGATCCTGCTGCTCATCTCCAGCTGCGGCACCGCTATCGGACTGGTGAGTAGGGACTACTCGATAATGAATAAAAACACTTACAATTATTTCAATGTTTTGAAGCCGATCACCGAAAAAACATGTTCAATTTACGAACTGAGTGAGAGAGCGAAAGATATAGACATTTTATTGCTTACAGATAATAATTAATATCAAGTTAACAATTTTAATTGGTCAAAGGCGGTGTTATAGCTAAAATCTCTTCTAGACAACCTTTGATTCGCTGAACATTTGGAGACAAAGACCGATGGTGGTGTGCCAATAGTAATAGAAGACAGCAAAAAATAATATAATACACAAATAAAGTAGTATGAAAATGAGGTAAAATATATAACTTTGGGTTCATTTGGCACATATACAATTTTATCTGATTTTTTTCTCTATGGATCTGTATATATAACTTTTGGAAATTCAAAAAAAAATTTTTATACGACCCAAAAATAACGTCGTCCAAAAGAATAATGAGAATTCCAAGAATTAACTCTCTAGAACTTTTTTTTTTTTAACTTCTAAAACAATGATGTTATAAAATGTTCTTTAGCTCCGCTGAAAAGTCGTGTTTTGGTTTACACGCCAATCGGACCAAAGGTATCATAAAAATAGGTATATAAAAAAAAATTGTTTCCGGCAGGGCCTCCTTGGGATGTACTTCATGCTGGCGGCGTCGGACAACCCGGTGGTGGAGAAGCTGGGCTTCCTGCCGATCCTGTCGCTGGTGGTGTTCATCGTCACGTACTGCTGGGGGCTCGGCCCGCTGCCCTGGGCCGTCATGAGCGAGTTGCTGCCCATCGAGGTCAAGGCCATCGCCTCGCCCATCGCCACCGCCTTCTGCTGGCTGCTGTCCTTCCTCATCACCAGGTATGTCATTGTTATGCTCCAGCCCCATGCGGCGGCGAGTTTCCGAATCCCGGGTCTTTCTAACCCCCCACCCCCCAGAGCGTACTCGCAGCGGGTTTAACCAGGTAGTCCGGCGTCGCTTAAGCCTGTCGTTATCGGAACTGGTGACTAGTAGTTGCATTTCCTTTGCGTTAAAAAAATAAGGTATGTTATTCGTGTACGTCCTATTGCCGAAATATGTTCACGCCTTCGACTTATCCTGGTTGTACGAAAATCGAGTAAGTAATACACCAGATATGTATTTTCGGAATCAAAAACAATTCATCGAATTCGATTGGAAGTAAAACACCATATTTTCTCCTATTACTGCCCCCACGAGGGAGGCTAGTCAAAGTGCAGAGGCGTACTCACTGAAACCTTTAAATGTCCCTCTCTATGTTAATCGATGCGCAGAAACAGTCAAAAGAACGGTCTTTCGAAGAGGTCTTCCCGCGCCGATCTTCATTTCTCTTCATGTAAATGTTTATAGGTACACCTCACGCGAAGCTCGATAAATCGACCTACGCTTGTACCCTGCATAACAAATCCCCTAAATATATGATGCCATGAATTCGAGGAGCATCGCATCATAAATACGCAACTCCTTAGTCAATACGCTGCGTATTACGAAACGGATATGTTGTCGCAGGTACTTCAGTACAATAGCTGAGGCGGTGGGCATGTTCACTGCGTTCTGGATCTTCGGCATCTGCTGCGTGTGCGCGTTCTTCTTCACGCTGTTCTTAGTGCCGGAGACTAAAGGCAAGAGCTTTACGGAGATACAGGACATGCTGGCTGGCAGGTAAGCATACTTACAAAATGTTATCATCTTCCTCGAGCTATTAATGACCACATTAAAGGGGTACAGGCCCTCTCTATGAATGAAATCAAATAGATGGAGGACCTTGACCCATCGCGTGGGCCCAATGCAAATTGATGGTTATGACTGAAAATGCAATGGAGACTTACTGTGCCTTCCAAAGCACAAACTAATAATAGAGCTCAAAATAATAAATATTGGTCACCCATTCTGTGGCCGGACCTTGCAAAGATATAGGTATAAATATAAGTACTAAAATATATTAATTTCAACTTTTTTTCTTGCAGATCCTCCAAACTAGAGAAAGCGTAATTTATTAAACTTCCGAAGGTAATGCAAATGAATTCTATTTTTATATCGACATAATGTTTTCAATAATCTTACATATTCTTATGTATTATTTATTACATTGTTAGAATAATTTTACTAGATTTTATACGGATTTTAGCAATGTTTTGACACTATTTAATTAGCGCCCGCGTTACACAATGATTAAATATGATCAAGATCAAAATATCATTTAGATTTTGTTTCAGTTTAATAATATGCCATAATTGTGTATTTTTTTTAAATGTTTAAGTACCTAGATAATAATTTAAAAAATGTGAAGATTGAAATTTGAATGTATAGAATAATTAAGGTGATTAACGAATTTACTTATTAAGTTACGAAATGTAATCTAATGTTAAACCCAATTAAGAAACAAGTTATAAAAATGTATTAATGCATTTTGTGAAACCAAAGAATATGAAAGTAGACTCCAACTGTATTTTCACAAAATATTGCATCAATAATGAAAATAAAACTGAAAAATATTACCTTTTAAAGTTAAATTTCGACATTTTTCATTGTGCCAAAGACATTAAACTATTCTAGTGATATGTAAGAATTCCATATCAAATATATTAATATATATTCGTAAATATCTAATTGCTATTTTAATTATTGTACAAGGTGATGCCCGTCTGGGATCGGTGTAAAATTGTTGTAAATTAATGAAAACTCCAAATGACAAAATTACGGACTGCTCGAGCTATTAAGTTCAGAAGATAACTTTGAAGTATAAAAAAATATAAAAATTTGCTTTATTCTACATCACAAACTATCTTCAGCATAGTAAAAACTATTTATTACTAAGATAAACGAAATTAAATAGAATTTGTCGCATTTAATCCATCTGTAATAAACAGATAAGAGTGTATAAATAGATTATAAACTGACGGTACATATATAATTTTAAGGTGACGTATATATCGGCATCTTTACAATTTAAACCTGTTATCTCACATGACACTAGATTTACACAAAACTATCATGTCATCATCAATTGAAAAGATGCAAAATGAAAACCACTACACAAATTTAGTATAATTGTACCTATTAGTCTCATCATAATATCTGTATATCTTATACGCAAGCACCTTTGTTAACTTTTTTATTAATTTTACATTTCTCTAAAATGAGTATCTATCATGTTAGATGAGAGATTCAAGCTGTAAAGTTGCGATATCCAATATACGCCATTCGAGGCATAATAGTAATGTAAGAAACAGGCACCATGGATGTTTAGTACCTACATAATAATTTATTTAAATATTAATACTTTATCTGTTGTTATTAAGTCGTTTAAATTATAGTTTTAGGATGAAGCTTGTGTGATAAGCATTGAGCGTGATAAGTAGAAGGTAGACCAAACATACAAGATATTATATTAATCATTATTGGTACAAGTTTCAGAATAAAACGGCAATCATTGTATTATATATACTAATTGTAAGCAGCGATTTTCTTTTAATCTAGTAGACAGGGCCGGATTTACCTTGTTAAAGGTCTCTTGGCAATACAATAAGTATAACAACTGGGTAAAAAAAAAATAAATTCTATTTAGTCCGTCAATCAGATAATAGTAAAATACTAGATACGTATTCTTTTGCTTAAATTTAAGCAAGAAATGGCTTAGATAATAGGCATTAAAGTTGAGGAATGGGGGCTCGCTACGTCATAGTTTTGTTTAAAATGTACAAAAGAGTAACATCATGCGATATTTCTACTCAATGTATCGCCGTAATTTATTGATTACGCAAAAAATACGTATTCAATAGTCTTTAGTAACCTGACGGACAGACAAACAAAAATTTGTCGTCATCCCTATCACAATTACTTAATCAGACTGGTTGAAAGTATTTTAATTCAATCTTAAGGTCCTAATAAACTATGTTTATATACATTCTGTAAGTAAGCGTAATAAAATTACATCTAAACTTTACATTTACGAATTAGACGAAAATGCTGGACGCCATATTGGTTTGTAGTTGTGACATTAGTTTGTTTTGTAAACATTTATGCACTTTTTACCATATTTAAATAATTGTACTTACATTAATGTTTTAACATTCCGTAATACACTTTACAAAACCATGTTCTATGGTATTATTATAATAAAAGTGAGTTTTTATATATTTTGTCATTAAATTATTAAAAAAAAAAAAAACCCTAAACGTATTTCTCTTGCTTGAAACTTATTTTTCTTGTTAGTTTACAAATCGAATGACGTCTTATCACGGCGGCTACTGATTAGCGTAATAACAACACAGACCAAAGATTTGATAACCTCCATTTGAATATTAAAAAAATATTTTATGAACCGAAACTATCTTGTTCGGATCTAAATTGTATAATTTTAGTTTTTTCTCGTAATGATCAAGATACCCTATTACAGCCGTGTGTGACGTAATTAAATAAATTACCAATAACCTAGAATTAGTTCAAATGCAATAAAATAAACGAGATACATTTTTTTTATCCTTACTAAATATTGGTCTTATTGGATATTAGATTTTTTTGATTGGGCACGCTCCAAGGGCTCCCTCTAGGCAGTGACCTACTGTGCCTTTAGGTTAATAGTAGACTATATGATAGTAGACTAAAACCAGGTATGTCGATACGGTTAGATAATGATAGTATGTAATTTCATTTATATTGTAAACTATCGATAATTACAATTTTACAGTGACTCTCGACTCCAACAAACATATCTAAAATTTAACCTCTACAAATTTAAGGTCAATGCTTATCACTCGTAATATTAAAATATTTATTGTTCCAAAAAGTACAAGAGAAACTAAAAGGTTAACCAAACAGGGTGCTAATATTTGAGCAAATTGTGATAAATTTAGCTGAATATTTATAAAAAAAAAATTGTAAATATGTATTTTAGGCGTTGAATAAATTATTGCGTTGACATGGCATGTAATTTTGGTTTAAAAATTAGACATAATCCTTTTTTTATTATTCTTGGAGTAATCTTTTTAAATTTGATTATACTTAAATGGTAAAGCGAAAAAACACAAATGTCAACGGAATAACCATCACAACTTATGTTGATTCAATAAATGTTTAACAAAAAACTGTTTTTTTTTTTTCCTACCAACCATCCCGTCTCAAGACAGAATAGAAAAGTATGTTTCCTATCCACGAATATCCAAACGGACTGTGAAATAATCAACAAGCAAAATGAATTAACAACATTTAATATCATAATTATACAGTGACGTAAAACACAATTATAACATCAGTCTTTGTCAAAATACATAATTAGCACGCACAATAGATCACATTTATTTCATCACACTCATTATTTCGAGAGGCAGTTTGACTATTATCACATTTCTTCGCTTACATAACAACACAATTGGATATACAATTAAAAAAATATATATATCCAAATCACAGCATGTTATTTCAAGTGCTCATAGATTTTTTAATATCGGAACTGCACAATTCCGAAGTCACATCTATAGTATTAATTAAATACACCTATTTTAAACTGTACCGCCGTCTCAAAGCATTATTAAAACAAAAATTTAGACAGTAAGGTACTTGTCACATTTAAGTTAGCCAGTATTATTATCTAAGCGACGATTTGTGGGTGTTAACACTAAAATATGAGAAAATATAAATACGCTTAAAAGGCGTATTTTTAATATCACTCTTAAAACCTTATTAATCTAGTTTAAAAAAATATATAGGTATATTTAATGATAAATCAATCAATTTGCAAAAAAAATTATTAAGTCTACACTTACTCTATACTTAACTACTAAATGGCTTTTCTTTAAAATTGAAGTAATTTTTCGTAAGTTAGAGGATTAAAAAAATTATTACCAAATTACTGTGAAAAAAAATCAAGACTACTCTTGTTCAAACTGTTTGCTGATATCGTCCATAGAGTTCAAAACGTCACATATACTAGAAGCATAAAGTCTTACGTCGTCATCTTTTTTAATTTTCAAACTGGCCATGTACAGTTTCTTGTACATATCAGTCATTCGTTCATAATCTTTATTACTCTTCGATCTACAGTACTGTATGATACTTTTGAGTATAAAATGTAATCTGCATTCGAACAACGACAATAGGCTGTGTTCATTTTTAATTGACTTTTCGTCGCCGTCGTCCGACTTCGGTTGATCTTTCTGGTCTTCCGGGTCTCGTTCTTTTATCAGTTTCATAATCGAGTGAGACTGCCTCAACAATTGTATGGCATTTTGGAACGATTTCAATTTGAGGTTTGGTGTCACTGTAACAATATATATTAGTTTTGTCAATGTACAACAACTGACTCTCAAATTCGACGAAAACAACGCTTTGGTTCATAAGCATATGTTTTAGTAGTTTAACAAACGCGCCATATGCGAGTTCCGTACCATTATATACATAAAACACATTAAAAAATAAAAATTATACTAGCAACAGAAATACATAATCTGTGAAATTGTCAACTGTTTAACGATCACAAACGGAGGGACAGCGTAATCTTATTAATAGGGTCCCGATTCACCGTTTAACTCTAAAACTTAAAAATAAAAGAAAAATACATGACCTACTGGTAACGAACGAAATATTAGTTCGTGTATATACTGTTGTACTCAATAACAAAATTGAATACAAAAAACATATGTAAATTTATTAAAATAAATGTAATTATTTTGATTAGTTCATCTATGGATATGACACATAAAAAAATGTATCTTATTCCATTTACAATACGGTTTAACAATTTATGAAAATAAATGTTATTATAACTTCATCTTTGGACACGAGACAACCAAAAAAAAACAGCCTATACCGTTTCAAATATGATTGACCCATTGAATAAAGTAAATCAAAAAGTAGCTCGTTGGCGTAGAGGATAAGCGCCGCGGCCCGCGATTGTTGTTGTTAAGCAACTTTCGCAAGGGTCGGTCACGGGACGGGTGACCAAAAAATTATTCGTGCTTCGGAAATCATGTTAAGCCGTTGGTCCCGGGTGCATTTGCAGTGGTTAATACCCTCCAATCCGCATTGGGCCAGCGCAGGAAAGTCATGGCACATCCTTCTTAACCATCCATAAGGGAGGCCTGAGCCCCTGCAGTGGTGGTACTAGTGGGGACGTAAAAAGGGCTGATGATGATGATGATGAATCAAAAATGCGTGTTATGCCGTGACCAATACGGGCGCACTCACCGGCCGCCTGCCCCTCGAGCGCGGCCACGTGCTCCAGCTGCACGGTGAGGAACATGGCGGCGTCCTCGAGGCTCGCGAACATGTTCGCCGCGTGCTCGTAGTTGGTGCGCGTCAGGTTCAGCAACGTGCGCCGCTTGGGGCCCTCCTCGTGGGTGATCCTGGATGCCGATACGGTTTCAGTATTATTATGGCTATGTCGGTGCCGATACGGTTTTAGTATTATTATGGCTATGTCGGAAGCCATGTATGAAAAGTGTAATGAAAGTGGATGATGCGAAAGATGACTACCCCGCAAGGCATAAGACTTGGTTATAACACATAACTCAACATGACAACAACACATAATTGCTATCAAATTGTATCCTATTTAAAGGCAAATAAATATCCATTCCATTCCATTCCATTCCATTCCATTCCATTCCATTCCATTCCATTCCATTCCATTCCATTCCATTCCATTCCATTCCATTCCATTCCATTCCATTCCATTCCATTCCATCCATTCCATTCCATTCCATTCCATTCCATTCCATTCCATTCCATTCCATTCCATTCCATTCCATTCCATTCCATTCCATTCCATTCCATTCCATTCCATTCCATTCCATTCCATTCCATTCCATTCCATTCCATTCCATTCCTTTCCTTTCCTTTCCTTTCCTTTCCTTTCCTTTCCATTCCATTCCATTCCATTCCATTCCATTCCATTCCATTCCATTCCATTCCATTCCATTCCATTCCATTCCATTCCATTCCATTCCATTCCATTCCATTCCATTCCATTCCATTCCATTCCATTCCATTCCATTCCATTCCATTCCATTCCATTCCATTCCATTCCATTCCATTCCATTCCATTCCATTCCATTCCATTCCATTCCATTCCATTCCATTCCATTCCATTCTATTCATATAAATGAATTAAAGAAACTATATTATTAAATGTGTCTGAAACAAAAGTAACGGTTGGCATTATGTAATCTAAGTGGCTAAATATTATATCACATGAAATACAATAATATTGGCTTTTGGCTTGATTGAATCTATAAAAATACATTAACTATATTACAATGATGGAACAATAAATACTATATCTCTAATATCAATTACTAGTCAGCGACTTCGCCCTCGTGATCTAGTTTTTACACTTCTAAGACCAGAAATCGAGAAAATTCCATATACACTTCCCCACCCTAATTCGCCCCCTTAGGGTTTGGATTTCTTAAAATCCTTTCTCAGTGCTCAATTATCTCTAGTAGATTCTATGTTGTGTAAAATTACGTGTGCTTACACGCACAAATAAGTAATAAATAAAAATTTTGGTAACTACTTATGAGCTTCATTGAATTTAAAATTAGAATCTACTCACTACTTAACTCTATATATTAATACATGAAGCAAAAACTTTGGACTCCTTTTTACGAAAATTGAAGTCAAGTCTAATATTAATATACTAATCTAATCTAGTCTAATATTAATAAGCTAACTAATTCGCATCAATTTGAATTTTAATTCGGATTTTGGACTATAATAGCAAATGTATATGATATTTTTATATTGATTGTATTTGATCAATTTGGCATTCGCGATGCTATACTGAAAAATTAAATATTTGAATGGTTTGTATTAATTTTAAATGTATTTTTGTTATTTGAATTTTTAATGCCCTGATTATTATATATGACAATAATTTGTATTTTATTTTTATATATTATGTATGAATATTTAATGACTATTTAAATTAATAGTTTATGAGTTTATGATGTTTGAGGGTATGTTCCGATATACACTGCGACCACTGAACAGTATGACGTCAATTTAGTATACTGGAAGCCCGTTCCTTTATAGCTGGTTATACTGGTGACTTTTTAAAACGGAACGCAGTCCAGTATACTGTTAATCCAATTTTTTGGCGCCATTTTCAAATTTGTTAATGCAAGGTGAATATAAATATAAAGATTCCCTCTATTCAAAAGAAAATATTATAAAGTTGGGAAATTGTATAAAAAAAATATTTATCTATCTTATAATAAACGTAAGTATTTTTTTTTTGTTTATTGAGAAACTTATCATTTTCTGATTCTGTTTCGACTGATCACGTGATCAAAAGCACTGCGAGCACCTTACCTCGAAATGTCCAGTGCTCACAGTACAAATATGGCGGCAATTTATGACGTCATGAATTTCCCTAGGGTACTGTAACAGTGTACTGGCAGTCCATAACGGAACGGATTTTTCAGCAGTAAGACCACTGCGCAGTGCTCACAGTGTATATCGGAACATACCCTTGATGTTAATTTGAGTATTATAATTTTAATAATTTTATTGATTAATTTTGCTTTCACTATCGCTTTGGGCTATACCTGTAATGATAGTTATAAGTTACGAAATAAATAAATAATATTTTGCTAAAGATCGTTAAGTCAGATCTGACTTAACTACAAAACTAGGCGTCCAATAAATGACGCCGTTTAATTAAAGCCATCCAATTAAACCAGTTGGGTGTGACATATACGATTGTAAAACACTTTTAAACACTATTTCATTTTTGGAAGAAAAATTAAGATGATGTTATTATAATATAAAAAATATTATTTTGTTCAATAAATTAAATAAACAGCATATATAGTAAAGTAAAATATAAATTAAACTTTCCTAATACAATGTATTAATTTAATAAATTGTATATTACCTAAACTGCGAGTGGTACAGTGACCCCAGTCTGTGATGTATCATGGCGGCCCTGAACTGGTACAGATACTGCCTGGGTCCAGGACTCAACAAGCAATGCTTCAGCGCGTGCTTGAACGCTTCCGCCACCTCCGTCACCTCCTTCAACAATACATTGTATGATTGGCAACTTGACAGTTATAATCAACAAATAAGATATAATTATGTTGAAAATAATTAATTAAATTTAATCAATAAATATGTAGTTTTAAAATAAATCACAAGTATATTTTATTTCAGCAAAATTAACTGACGATTTATACTCTTTGGATTAGAGGACCTGAAACGCGAATAAAAACTAAACGATTATTGAAATGTGATGTCACATTAATATGATAATTTATGAAAGTTTTAAATAAAATTTCTAAAACCGTCAAGTAATTATAAGTATAAGAAATATAAATATTAAGAATAATGTTAAACGCTTTTTTAAAGTTCTTTTTTCTTTTCGTCGCAAACATTATCATCTGCATGAGCGTGAACATATGGCACCACCACTGACCTTGGCATATACAGAGGGGCAGTCCTGCATGAGGGCGGCTCGCGTGTACAGGTGGCACGACAGCTCCCATGCCACCAGTTCCCACACGGAGACGGCGCCGCAGCTCTCGCGCGGACCCAACAACTTGAGCGCGTCATTGTACAGGCTCTCCGCCTGACTGTACAGGCGACGCTTCTCAACACTAAAAATGTTAATTACCGTTATTATAATGCTTAATATTTGATAATATACTCCAAAACTACTGGAGAGATTTCGAATACTTTTGTTAAATTATAATAATTTATATTTTAAAATCAATAAAACAAAAATATTTCTTTCAATATTTTGTGTCTGTGTGATATCATGTTAGACGAAAGGTGACGTGACATCATATGTGGGTGAATTGGTAATAAAACCATCTAAGAAAAGCGCGGGAAACATTCAAAGTATAAAATAATTTAAAGATAGATGATAAGACTACATAAAATAATTTTTATATTAAAATATCCATATTGATTAAATTCAAACAGTTTTTTGAAATTTGTTAGAATACTGTAAGGTCCCAAACCTGAGCACCTGAGTTAGGTTTATTTTCAAAATATTTTTCTTTAAATTAAAAATCCCTATAGCACTATGAAAACAAAATTTACCAAATAATACTATTTTTATTTATCATTATTTGTTTTCGTGAGTAATGTAAAAAAATAAATTAAACCGAACTGCATACTCTGATACCTTCAATTGCAGAACGATCGCGAAAAACAATTTAATATAAAAATAAGACGTGTAAATCTATTAATCGTCTTTTATTTTGTATAATACATTCGAAAATAAAATAACAAATAGCCGTCAAACATATAACCTCCTCCTTTAGGATTTTTAAGACGGTTTAAAACTCACCCAAACTCCATTTGATCTGTATGCGCTTTGAATCTCAAATATCTAGCCTTGTTACAATAGAGCAGCGCCAGGTTAGGTATATCGTTCACTTGTTTGAATATATTCATAGCTTCTTCCAAGCACTCGGACGACCGATTGGAGAGCGTCGTGTACTGTTTATGAAGAAGCTTAGCTTTTGGAGACTTTGAATCCTCCTCCTCTGTGTATTTACTGTAAACCTCTACAAAGAAACATAATTTATTACAATAAAAGCTTTATTAGAATGAACATTCAATAATAACAATGTCTAACCTCTTTCATGTTATAACATACACATACATATATAAATATCAATTCTGTTACATATACTAGAATAAAAGTTTTATTCCAGTCAAACTGAGTTTTCAATTGTGAAAATAACTTAGAAAACAGATTTTTTTTTTAAGATAACATTGGGTACTTTTTTATAATTTCAGTATAGATGAGTACTACATTACATTGAGTAGAATATTACATAAATGAAGGTAAGAAACATTTAAGTTTAGTTTAGAGAATGGTACAAGAGAATTGGTCCCATTGTGTCAACTAAATGTATTGTGGGAATGAAAATACGCTCACTAGTAGTGAAAAGTAATAAGTGTTTGAGAAATTCATCAGTGCTGCTTAGTCTCAGGTTAGAGGAGTAACCCCATCTTGAAGTGGTGGACTGGTGATTTTTTAAGCATTTTTCTTTAAGACCAATATATAATAAAAAGATAATTTATATTCAGCTGGTTTCAATTCAATCAATAGACCATGCTTAATAAAATCATACTTACGTTGCGCGTCATTCATATAGCGGACAGCTAGCTCATTGTTGACTGAAGCTAAACGACGCAATAATTCGCCGCGCTTATCATGCGTCGCCTGCACCGCCCGTCTGTAGTAGGAACAGGACGACAGCATAGCGTCTATCTCATTCTTCGGCAGAGCTATATCTACGCGATAAAGTATTTTGTTAAATATTTGAGGTCTCTAAACATATCCTTGTGGTACACACAAATGCTAGTTATATGGTGTCAAAGCTTTGTAAATTTTCATTTGTGGACATATATGGAGAAATTTTATGAAAGACATTTTCGCAAATATTTATTGTTAGTAAAATTGATAATTTTACTAAGTCTTAAAAAATATAATAAGAATTAGTTGCATATGCCAAAAATTAACACGCGTTTTGGATAGTAGCCCACTCAATTTACGGGCATGATATTCTATGTACAATCAAAGCCTGTGGCCTAGAAATGGGAATATTAATAAACGAATATTTTGATTATCAAATAACTCACCAAGGTCGAATTCATCAGCCACTTCTTCATCAACCTCTTCTGTCATGTCATTTTCAATCTCCAAACGTAGCATACTATCAATATCATGGTCCGTCTCAAACTGTTTCTTAAATTGTTCCAACCGATTCCAATGTTTACTCAATTGGAAATAATTATCTCCAACTCTACCTATCAAACAGCAAGCATCTACAACACGACTCTTGATGATCATGTTACTCAACAACTTCTGACATTTACTAGCCATGTCTATATATTTCAGAGAGAACCCATATTGTTCGTTGGCATAACTATATTCCGCTAAAGTAGCGTAAGCGAGACATATCTTTTCATACAACAAAGTCTTCAAATGCAATTTCCATGCAAAATTGTCATCTCTATTCGGCTCTTGCCACGTCGGGTAAAACTTCTTTTCCTTTCGAATTAATATTGCGTTTTTGTCTATCGACGAATTGGACTCTATAAGACAGTCTCCAGATTTTTCAGTAGTTTTCCGCTCTCGTTTACGTCTGCGGCTGCGAGATGTATGCTCTTTGACATTTTGTTTCTTGTTTATTGGTTCATAATCCATTTTAATTGGTTCAAATGGATTAGCCATTTTGGGATGCTGTTCTTCTATTATTATCTGTTGTTTTAGACGCTCGCGCTCTTCTTCCTAACAAATTAGAACATCACTATTAAATTTTTTTATTTGCACATACTTGGAAAGTAAATGGATGGATATTAATTTTACCTTGCATTTGTCTATGGTAACATTGTGCAGTGCAAGCAGTCCTTTTAACGCATGTTTCAGCGCCTTTCCACATCGATCTGGAGGTTCAGTACCTAAACCACTATTAGTGTTTGGTTTATCCTTATCATCCTGTGAAGAAGTCTATTTTATATATCTAATTATATGATAGGAATTATATATCTATTTTTATGACAGAAATCAAAACAATAACATATTTTAGTTTATTTTTTCCCCACAGGCTTTTTTAAATCAGATCAGTACTTTAATACCAATAGATTTTAATGAATAAACAATTGCACAAGAAATTATAACCAATTCTATAAAAATGTATACTCACCCCACTCGGCCCTTTTACTCTATTACCAATATCTCTTAGATCAAGATCACGTATCTGAACAGCTAATGATTTGGCTTCATCTCCTTCCTTCTCTAGTTCTGGTTCAAATGTCAACGCTTTCGTATTATCCGTCAAAACTGCGCTTTTGTTGTCGTTTGTCACGTTCTCAACGACAGAGTCGATATTTACATTATCTGCAGCTTCTTCACTTCTTATTACTGTATCCTTTTCATACGAAGAGCCCACTTTTTCAGAGGATCTGTTGTCTCCATCATACAAATATTCATCTGTGTCATTCGCTTCCTTCGCAAACTCCTTATAATCTTCATCATCACCATTATCATCATCCGAACTTTCATCTAAAATAATAAAAAAAAAATTTTAGTTGTTTCACTATAAAAAGGATTTATTTTCATTATTATGATACTTTGAAAATATTTTCAATTTTATTTAAATCTTACCCTTAAAATCGGGACAAGCCGGGTTCGTGGTCGCCGGCACGTAAAGATCCGCCATCATGTAATGAGAGGAAGCGACAATCTGTGGATACCTTTCGACTTTCAACAAGTCTATAACATGCTGTAACAGTTGTTTAACATGTTTCGACCTGTTCATTAGCCTCATGTTCCTCGCAACTCTATAGAGTAACATAGCGACAGGCGTAGTGAAGGGATTATCTAAACTATCCGGACACAGAGAAGTTAGATCGTATAGCTTGACGACATCATCATGTGGACCTTTAAATAACCAATACGTGTGACCAGCTTTAGTCGCGTTAGATTTTAGAAAAGACAATATGTTCTGAGCTACGTTCCTGATGACTTTTGGGGAGAATTTTGAATTCTCGACATTTGGTAAGTCTTCTGTTTTCATCGGTTCGTACTTTTGAACGATTCCATCTAAGTGATAGCACATAAGAACTTCGGGGACGTTACACATAAGGTTGTCCAGCCAGTAGTCTATGCCTGTCAGAACATTAATAGGTTCTCTTGCGTCTCTGAGGCGTAAACTGACGCATGGTCTGTCTTGGTCACCGAATATTGGAAGGTCGCTGCCTATAAGCATATGGATGTCTTCGAAGGTCCAGTGAACGTTGCGGTTGTATAAGTGTTCTTTTGGCGGCTCCTCGGCTCTGGCTTCGGGCTCGGGGAGATATGGTCCTGAGAATAATTGGGACATTTTTTACTCTTATTCGTTCTTCTGACGTTTAAACTAAACCATTAAACTTAAATTTTAGTAAATATATTACAAAAACTCGATATTACTGAGTTCATTTCCAAAAGAGATCAATGTATAAAACATAATTTAATAAAAGTGTTAATTTATCAACAAGATGAACCCGAGTCGGAAAAATACAAAATCGTATTATAGTCAAGTTTAATTCTTACAACAACAACAAAAAAAAAACTCAAATGATTACCAAATACATATTTCGATTAAAACAATTTAACTAATTCAATCCCTATTAAAAAGTAACACTTCTCGTTACAAGTATTAATGTTTTAAACTTTAGAGGGTTCGATTTCAATAACTAAAAACTTATTAGTGTTTTAAAATGCAATATTTTTGAATAATTTGGAACTACAAATTGTCAATGTGAATGGGAGTGTACCAGGTATTCGTGCGGGCGGAGTGACGTGCGCGGCCGCCACGCTGTGGCTGAGGAACTGCTGCGTGAGCTGCAGCGCCGACCGCGCGCCCGGCGCCGGCGTCAGGGACATGCGCTCCTGTACACGGACACATGCGTACACATACACACGACGTTCTACTTCGGATCTTATTACAAACGAATCAAAAATCAAATCTTTATATACTCGCTGTTTACCTATAGCCTATGTCACGCTTCCTGTTGTTGAATGAATTTGTAAAATCAGTCCAGTAGTTTCTATGCGAACGAATGATCTTTATCCTTCTTTTTTATAACACATGTTTAGTTAGACAGGCGTAATTTTGGAATAGATTGATGTAAAAAAAAATTTATGAAATATTAAAAATTACAATATTTAATGAATATTGTGCAAGAAAACTTTGAAAATGAACTTTGTTATGCTGTTTCAGGTTGCACTTTCATTATTTCAGATTTTCGTAAAACAAAACATGAAGACTAAATAATTATATCATAATGTAATAAAATTTTCTTACCTTCTCAGACATGGTTTTCAAAATGTTTTCATAGAAGAAATCTTTCAGCCACGACCACTCTGACTTCATCAGATAGTCATACACGTCAAAGTCATCGAGTAGGAGGGTGTTCTCGACTCTGTGCACCATCATGCTCACCTAGTCATTAATTTACAACCTTTTAAACACATTAATATTAATTGTTATATTTTAACTTTAAAAGTCAATATGCATTGTCAAAAACACTAGATTTTTTTTTTAAATCTACATATCAATATAAATAATGTATAACATAAGCAAATTCACCCTTATCTCAAGAACATATTGTTCATAAAGCTTCCGAGATAAATAAAAATTTTGCACACTTACACATTCACATAATCAATTTAAATCTTGCTACGATGATAAATGAAAAAAAAAAGGATGTAATTTTATACTTACAGTCCCATTAGGCTGGTATGGTAGTTTGAGCAGTTTCTTAATGCACTCTGCACCTGATATGACATCCACTTCACCCACACAATCAGGAAACATATGTGCCATCCTGAAGCTAAAACATAAATGTAATAGTAATGTGCACTAAAATGAATAATTGGACAAACATTTAAAAGCATTATTCATAGTTTTATTTAATGTGTACCCCAAACCGAACACATTAGTATTCTTAACATAGTTATAGTAATTAATAAAAACTTTAACTGCATACTTTAACGCGTGCTGTCGCCAGCAGTTCCAGCACCTGACCTCTGCACTGGGTAGTGACTAATATATACTAACTTCATACTTAAATATCAAACTTTAGAATTGCACATTTTTGTCATGTGCTAACCTATCAGGGTTTGTTGTTATCAAAATAATAATCAATATCAAGATATTTTCTTTGGATAGTTATCAAGATAATTATTTTTTGGATAATTATTAAGATAATTTTTGATAATTATCATTATGATTATTACAATACTGGACCTGAAAAGCATTAGGTCGGATGTGCAGAACCAGCTAAAATCACTTATCGCCATAACGTTGCTACACTCTTTTTTCTCTTACCGGCAAATTAACTCTTGTATGTTTGTGCCTTTTTACTCATGAGCAACAGTCATGCATAAAGTCGGATCAGACGACTTTTTCAAATATTTTGATTGCATTTAGCTATTTCTGTTTTTATACAGTTATGCCTAAGATTCCCGACATCCGACCTAATGCTTTTCAGGTCCAGAATAGTTTGCAGATAATTATCCGACAAATACCGGTAGTTACTGGCAACATTTTTATTTCTATAAAACAAGAGAAATTAAATAAACAAAAAATGAACTGTGAAATCATATTGAACAAGAAGTAGAATTTAAATATTTTTTCAATAAAAGAAGGCTACTTTATGTTTTGTAGGTCCATCCTAGACAGTTTTCTGTATCAGAAAAACCACATTTAATAAGTTGTTTCAAGATGATTCACCTTTGATAAAATAACTTGTCCTAAATTACAAAAAGACTACATAGTGTTTTATAATTATCAAGTTAATACAGGTATAGATGATTTTTTATATTTTTATTTTACAGATATACTTGAAATAAATAAAAAACTATGTAACGGTGTGCCATGCCACCGTTTGTTTTCCTAGGTTTCAGTATGCAAACTTTTTGCTTTTGAAATTCAACATAATTTCATTTAATTATTCGTCTTTCGTAATTTAAAATTTTGACTAATCAATTATACTCTTTATGGATGTCAGTTCGTAAGAAATTCTCCTATACACAAGATGAAATTATAATATAATACAATATTATTGGTATAAATTTTACTATGTAATTTTAATAATTCATATATTATGGTGATACAATAATATAACATATTTACTAAATTAAAATTGTATTTTGTACGATCCAAAAGTGTAACAAGAAGCCCGACAAGGGGTATGTATTCGTTTATTTGATAAGAATGTATTAGTTTAAGTAACTTACGAACTGTTTTTTAAATTTATTTTTGTTTGTTACAGTTTTTTATTATTACCCTTATTTCATTAATAAATTATACTCAAGCTGATCAGCCTATTTAATTGACGAAGCACCGAACCCGTAACACTGGCGCCGCAACGTGGTTGAAAAATAGGCTGACTACTGCAATAGAAGACAATAGTGCACACTTTACGACCAACACCACAATCACATTTACTCACATAAACAGACAATAGACATTCAGCGTTACTTTGGCTGGTCACAAATGTGATCGGTTCTGATGCCATTGTATCGAGGAACATACAAACACGTACTCAACATAGTGTTATAAAACAGGAATATTTAATAGTAAATAATCTAATTAAGATTCCGTATATATAAAGGTACGTAAGGCATTACTTTAATTTTTTCAAAAATTTGCTGAGATTTCTTTTTGACGAATAATATTATTTTTAATATTTAAAAAATAGAATATTGTAATTTATTTTCCGTTTACGATTTGACATTCATTTCTTTTATAATAATCAATTTTAATCATGGATATATCGTACTTGAATAAACCAGAAATTATTTATGAACTGAAATTACGAAACGCGAATTTTGAATCCACCCAAACGGCTCAAGAATTGCGTGAAATTTTATTACCAATGATAGGAGACCTTGAGAAATATTCTTGGATTACTTATTTATTTATTGTTAGTACCCTGTAAATATTCATAACGTTTTCATTTAATTATTTGGCTACTCATACTTATTGTTATTTTTATTATCTTCATAATTTATTATTTTCATCTAGTGCGGTTGACAACACTATAAATAAGCCAATGTCAAAATACCAATTTAGTGCGGATGACAACACTTTAAACAAGCCAATGTCAAATATCAATTTTAAAGTGCGGTTGATAACACTATAAATAAGCCAATATCAAAATATTTCTTTGTGTACTTATGTATACTTATTTACTTACTATCTAACATTACATAATGTATTGTTATACCTAATGCATTACCTACTTTATTTATTACTACGATTGTATATTATTCTACACTCTACATTTAGACACTTACACAACACACTCATCTACACTCAACAACACTACACAATTCACCTAAAGTCAGCGGGTGGTGACTGACATTATTTTAAAGAAGCCTACACTATTTTCTAGGTCGATTTATTAGAGATAATCTTTCTTAAATACAAGTTACCTCTAATTGCTAGGAATTTTTATCTTAATAAGATAAAGATTGTTTTAATGATGTTTGAATGATGAAGTAAGAACATTTTATGAAAGGGAAATCGCCTAATGTAATTTATCCACTATATATACCATCCCCATTTCTAAATTAAATCATGATAGCATTAATTAATCACATTTTATATAAAATATTTTAAGCTTGAGTAATCCAAGAATATCTAAAAAAAAATCTTTCAGATTTTTTTTTAACCCCGGCCCCCCCGGTATTGTAACGGTGTGCCATGCCACCGTTTGTTTTCCTAGGTTTCAGTATGCAAACTTTTTGCTTTTGAAATTCAACATAATTTCATTTTATTATTCGTCTTTCGTAATTTAAAATTTTGACTAATCAATTATACTCTTTATGGATGTCAGTTCGTAAGAAATTCTCCTATACACAAGATGAAATTATAATATAATACAATATTATTGGTATAAATTTTACTATGTAATTTTAATAATTCATATATTATGGTGATACAATAATATAACATATTTACTAAATTAAAACTGTATTTTGTACGATCCAAAAGTGTAACAAGAAGCCCGACAAGGGGTATGTATTCGTTTATTTGATAAGAATGTATTAGTTTAAGTAACTTACGAACTGTTTTTTAAATTTATTTTTGTTTGTTACAGTTTTTTATTATTACCCTTATTTCATTAATAAATTATACTCAAGCTGATCAGCCTATTTAATTGACCGAAGCACCGAACCCGTAACAACTATATATTTATTTTAAAACTAATAATAAAATTCACATTCTAAATTTCCTACTAAAATGCTACCTCTGTTATGGTATCAATGTGACATCACAGCCCGATTTCCAATTTGATGTCCAATTCAAATTTATGCTATCTTCATTAGAGGACTGTGAAGTAACACACTGTTTGCAGCCAAGTGATCATGAGTATAAAATAAGTGGTTTATCAAAATTGATTTCATAAATATTATAAATAAAATAAGCATGCTAGTGTGATTATTGGTAATAGTTTATTAAATACTACCTGAAAAAAAATTAATTTATTTTCGTTTACTGTCACACATTTTAACAAGGTATGAACCATGCTGTATAGTTTAAATTATAATATACTGAATCTGAAGTATAACATACCTAGATAATCCAGTACCTCCAGTCAAAATCTGTTTCAACCCATAGGAATCAATAGCAGCCCCCCAGTTAGAGGGGGGCAAATTCAGATCTGTATTACACTGCAACCGTGCATAGCCCACTGGACTCTGAAAAGCTGTGTACTTAACAACAGCTGTTGACTTCACACCTGGAGATGGACTACGCTCCTAAAAGCAAAATAAAATTCTTACCTACATAGAACTTTCATTTAAAAATTTATTAGTCAAATCTATACCAGAGTACCTGGAACAAAGTGGATTTTTAAGCATTTTTCATAACATATGTATTATATTAATTTATCATATATCTTATGCAGAGATATCAAATAGATTTTGATATTCAACATATATTTTGAAATGCACCCTTTACTTTTACAATCCTTAGGTTCGCAAATATTAGCACAGCCTGTGCCCCTGTTTTTTTAATTTACGATATTTTCAATTGATTTTAATTTAATTAATGTGAATTTATAACTTCATCCTATTTATAGACTAAATTGGCCTAGCCTTTCCCACTTGAAATATCTTGTGGTTTTGAAATTTGGAGGTTGCAACCTCATTTTACAGTAGTAGTAATGAACTTCTGCAATATATCTCCTGATTTATTTTTTTCTATTAATTGGGTAAACAAACACTGAATATTACTAAATATAGGGTCTCATTTTTTAAGGTTGAAGATACTTATTGTAGTGTGCAGACTTAAAGGGTTGCATATAATGCTACAGTTAAATCAAGCATTACGTGAAGACTACCACTATTTCTTTGTCACATTTCGTCTTTCACTATATAATCTGAATAGCTAAGAATTTGTGTTTAGGTTATAAAGAACAAAACAATATTGATATGAGAATTATATGGAAAGAGAATCTGTGAGACTTAGGTTTATAAAACCTAAAATCATATCACCGGTCATGATTATAATAGGTTTTTTATACGTAATATTACTCAAAAAGTAATTTGAAAAGTAAAGCTTTAAAACGCATACCTTCATTCGTTTAGATTCATTTTCATTTTCCTGCTCTTCCATTTTCTTAAATAATATCGCTGATAAGTGTTACGAAACCCGTTGAGTTATTTAAAAACGTAGAAATACTCAGAAATATTTCTCAAGATAAAAATGAGTTATGTTATAAACTTTAATACAACAAAATACCTTCTTTTTTGTTGTGGAGGTATCACAGACTAGTATACCAGTCGATTACATCTGTGATAATCCCTATTGGATAATCCGTACCATAGAGTAAGGTAGAGTGGAAATATTTTCTATGGTTATATAAATATCATGCAATCTGAAGTTGACATCAAAAACATCATGTTGTCTTTTTTTAACTAATAAGAAGTTTCTTTAGTAAACAAAGATAACACTAGTGTGACAGTTCAAAATTTTTTACGTGACGTCATGAGATATAGCTATCGTACCACCTGTCAGCCATTTGCAAATTTGCTTTGCGTATTCTCGGAAGTAGTTCAGCTGTCAGTGTTATAAGTTTTGTGGATATTTTCATTTATAACTTTAATTTATATAACTTTCATGGCAGAAAATTGTAAATTATTTATGCAAAACAATGCCTAGGTGCTGTGTAATTGGTTGTGCGTCATCGATATCCCGCAAACCGAGCAATATTACGTTTCACCGGTAAGTTAAACACTTTCTTGGAATAACAGTATTTAAAACGTAAGTAAGTTATTCTGAAAATGATTGCGTGTATAAATCGATACATATCGTATTTTGGCGTGTTCTATTTATGCTATATTGCTCTTTTCGTTTATATTTTTATAATATTTCGGTCCGTAAATAATATTGTTTACATGGCTAGTGTCGTTACTTTAACATATGGTTTATATCGATAATTTTAATATTTAAAAATATATTAATTATTATAGATTACCAAAAGATAAAACAAAAGAGGAAAATGGCCGAGTTACATAGAAGCAGAAAATATTAAATGTAATGAAAAAGTTACTTTTATCTGCTCACTTCATTTTAGGGAAAGTTGTTTGAATCGAACTTCAAATATAATAAAATTACGAGATGATGCATTGCCAATCAAATAATCTGGTAAGAATTTTTGACAATTGCTTTTAACTTATTTTAAAAAAAAATGTCTATTATACTTAGTTAATTTTCATTTGATTTTACTGATTTATTTATTTAGTTTTTTATATAGTCATTTTGTTATTCTATAAATATACCTTATTTTTAGTCTTGCGGTCATATGACGACTATTTTAATTGAAAAAAATCAGAATGCAATATATAATAATATTAAAATATAAAATTCTGATCATAATATACTCCCAGTAAAATATACAATAAAATGAGTTAAATAATTTTAATAAAAATTAAAATATGCACACTTATCAAATTAAAGGCATAGTTAAAGGTTTTCTTTGCTGTTTCTTTGCAATAGTATAATCTTAATACCCAAATAATTATTTTGCGGCGTGGATGTTTATTTTGCTGATGCATCATAAAATACGCTACCTTTTTGAATTTAAATTGCTGACCGTTATCATGATTGTTCACAGAACATGAATTGCAGACTGTTTTAGTGCTGAGAAAATATTTGTATGCTTGCCTATTGATTAATCGGCTGTTTTCTTCTTGCTAACCAAATTTTTAAATAAAATGCCAATTGTTACTTCTTTAATAATGTTACTGTTATGCCAATTGTTACTTATTCATCACCAACTTCGTTTTCTTTATTTTCTCTTGTTTATTCATCAAAGTTTACAGTATTTTTATGTTCTTTTACCAATAATATAATACAAAGATTATGTAGGTGTTTCAAGTTTTCTATGTTTACTACTTAACAAGATGTTCTGAACTAAAATTGTGACACAGTACGCACGGTATCTCACTTAATGAGGAGGAAGCGAAATTTATTCAGTCAAAACAATTTATTGAATAAATTTATAGACAAGTTGGCTTACTAGTTACAAGCATATAAGAAAGTCGAAACTCTGTGCTTATAGTTCAGCAATCTATTACGGGAAACCTTGTACCGAGAAAAGAAGAAACTGTAAGAAAGGAACCGGTAAGAAACTGCAAGGGCTGCTTTTGCACCCTGTTTAATTTTGTACTGAAAAATAAAAAATGACTTCATTGGACCAAAATGTCACTTTCCACCAAAACAATAAAAAATATATAACAGACAAAAAAAAAGCATAATAATTCATTCGTCAATCGACTCATTAAAAGCTTATTATAGTTACCGTGGTAGTTATCTTGGACAGTAGTCACACTTCCCGTGGATGCAAAATTAAACTTATGTTAAAAAAACTATTTAATTATAATTGCAAAATGTCAACTTGACAATATATATGGAAATAATTATAAAACACGATTGATATTGTTGTAAAACTTTTAAGATATATATTTTGGTACTATAGTTCTTAAAACTATGTAAAATTGGCTATATTAGAGGAAAAAGAAACATATTTATCGAGGTACAGTCATATTATAAAATTATATTATTAAATAATATAAATGTGAAAGTTTGTGAGGATGGATGTTGGTTACTCTCATGTAAAAACTACTGAACGGATTTTGATGAAATTTGGAATACGAATAATCTTTTACCTGTTTGAAGCGCCATCATACGCTGGTAACATATGTTATATTTACTATAGTGACGCAACGGAGTCGCAAGAACAAAGAACGCAAGAAATTTTAGATGTCCAACAAAATACGAGCAAAAGATTGCTTAATGATTTATAAATAATTGATAAATTCACGCCACTTTAAAAAAAATATTATTTTCTTTATACTGGCGTGAATTTTTCAACTTAATTAATAATAATCATAAATAGGATTGGTACGTAAGTGTGAAATGAATAGAAGTGTGGTAATAGTTTAGCCATGCCCCTAACAATGAAAATTATATTATATTATTTAATAAGTAGTAGTATTGTAGCAGTTTCACGAAATATTAACTTTTATTTAATATGACTTCAATGTCGATACAAATATCGATATCTTGGGTCACGCCCTATGACAATCCGCCATCGAAGAATTTGCATTTGAAGTTTAGGCATATACGCTTTTTTCGTAGGTATGGCCGGTCCTCTTCTTTTATGTCTATGATCCGTACGTATCGTATAGAAATTAGTACTCAAAAACAAACTAGATGTCACTAGCGATTCTTAAATTTTGTCTATGATATTCATTCGAATTTTCTTTGTTGTATGACAAAAGTAATCTTAGTATCAAAAATTAATAATTATTATATAATTATGGACATCATTTCGTATTGCTTTTACTATGAAACTTTCACATTAAATTAAAGTTATTAACGCGTGTATAGGAAAATTAGTTGTTTATATGTCAACATTTGTCACAATTTATAGGTTGGTCGTAACTTGAATAGTGAAATCTATTTGGTTTGGAAATAAGATCAAAAAGTGGAGCGCTTCGATATGTGACATTATGCTGAATGGTATTAATATAATTTAGTAACACATTACAATGAAACTGATTTCAAGATATGGTTGATTAAGTAGCCAACAGCTTGGCCAGAAAGAGTAGACATTAATAAAGGAGGCACTAAAATATGTTCTTTAAAGACAGACAGAATATAAATTTGAGTCTTGAGTTATATAAATTCACTTAAACTTATTAAAAAGTTTGAATTTGCTACAAAAGTGAATTAAGATACCTAAGACTATAAAGAGTGGTACAAGACCGGTGGTCATAATATGTTTAAACGATGCTGCGAAAAATATTGTTAAGACTTAATGTGCCTTTGTTGCGTTAAGTTAATAGTAGATACTTTTATATACTTGCATAACATTAAACAAAATGTAAACAAGATGTGTATATAATTTTAGACAAATAACCGTATTACTGTTTATTATCAATTTTAATTTACCAAATATAGTGCCGACTGTGAGCAAGGAGCCAACCCAGGCCCCTTGATCTGTGGTGATGGGATGCGGCAGGGGTGATTCCTCTGTATTATTCAGTTTCACATTTACAGGGGACGTCCATCCCATAGAGTAACCAGTTGAGGCTACCGCGATGTTCGCTGGAAGGAGATAGTAGAGTCACTATATCAGTAAACATGCTAATAGAAATGAATAATTTTTTGGAGGTCTCCTAGTTCCTGATGTTTTTTTTCTTTATGATCTGTCTGCTATAATTGTAATTAACTACTTAATTACTCCTTTACCTGTAATAGGTTCCCAAATTTTTATTCATATTTTTTTTTCCGTTTCCTACTCCTCTCTTACTGCCAAACGACTCTCGAATGCCTTACCAAGGGGTAAGGCATTCGAATGTTGTATACCATTCGGAAAGCACCAAATAAATTTCAGTTCAAGTGATTGGTTCCTGAACATTATCATAAACTTTTAAATTAGTCCCATCGCATCTGATTTATTTCTGTAAATATTATAATTTCATGTACCTATATGCTTATATTCTTATTTAAATAGCTATATATTTATTATTATTATAATATTATAAAAATATTAATATGTATTATTTTATGTCACTAAGGTTTAGCTTTCTCCTTAAAATCTTTTTGTTGCGCCACCCCCTTTGGTTTATTTGACACCCTAACTGGTCGACTGGCAGAGAATGCCGTGCGGAATCAAATCAAACATAACATAGATATTTCAATATTTGATTTATGTAACATTAGCTGTTTTAATGTGACTTCGCGAAACATTTTTTTTAATCGGTTCAGTATTTTCGGAACCTATTCAATGCAAAGAAAGAAAAAAAACAAATTTTTCATCTTTAAAATATTAGTATAGATTCTCTATCATACTGATTTACAATGAAAAAAATATTGGCTCTGCTCTCTCTATAATCGGCCACCCCAGACTTCAGCCAGTTCAGCGCTTCCAACGTTTGGTGTTTAGATGACTCTTGCCGAAAGTATAAATTATAAACAAAAATATTATTAGGTTAATTGATTAAATCTTATCTAGAAGCAGAAAGAGACTATTTATGCATTATCTGTCAATAAAAATGTAGAGACACGTGTAATTAATAATACACGCTTTTGATAGTTGACTTGCACGTGATGATAAACAGATTTCATTGCCAGATCAACAGGGGAGATATTTAATAGTCTTTTAAATTATAAATTACAAGTAGATAGGCTTTTATTGTTAGTTCTACAAACTACTCAGAGCAACAAAATTCACTTAC